CATATTCAACACACACACTTTCACATACACACGCACACACACACACACACATACACATATTCATACACACACACTTACATACACACGCACACACACACACACACATACACATATTCAACACACACACTTTCACATACACACGCACACACACACACAGACAAACATATACCGTAACAGCTCTTATGCTCTTTTTTGTACATGTGACTTTTGGCATCTATGGTGCTTCAGTGTCACACTCAGATAACCTGAGCTCGATTTTCGTGAGGGTTAAATATTTACTGAGTATTTGTCTTTCATTTTTTTGCCCCCTCCTGCCCACCCAGCAGTAATGGGTACCTGACTTAAGAGTAGGGGAAGTAAAAGCAGCATGGAAAGGAACTGGCTACCTTACCACAATATCCCGAAGGCCCAGGAAGTTGTCTCACTAACGAGGCAATCCCCAATGTCCGGATGGGAAGCGGGAACAACTTTACTTTTCTTTTTTTAAATTGTTTTTTCTGTTGAGGTTGACCTATGACAGGCAGGGTCAGAGTTCATCTCATAAATGATCTAACCTATGTCCCTGGGTGCAAAAAAACACCTAAATGAAAAATGAGAGGAGATGCTGTTTTCTATGGTAGGCCAATTATTTAAAGCTCTATACAGCTTCCGTAAAACAAACATAAATTTGGACAATATGTTTATAGGCAGACTGCTATCTGCCTTCTTTTTACTGCTTTTAGTTTTTCTTTATTTGAAAAATAAAGTGGAACAGAAAATTCATTTATATTATATTGAAAGTGGCCTGAATCTCAAGGTATCATCATCATCATCACCATCATCATCATCATCATCATTTTTTGGTAAGCAGGGTAGGAGGGAGAGTCTTGTTTTAATTTTAGACAAAAATTAAATAACAATATAAAATGTTTCAATTTATTTAATAGCTCAACGTTTCGCCCTGTGGGCTTCCTCAGGAGCAACTGAGAGAAAAACTAAACGAGCGCTGTATATTAGCAGGGAAATGGGCCTAACAAAGGGGTCTTAGGGTTACGTGTGGTTACAGGCTAGACGGAAGTGACTAAGTTGGTGAAAGGCCAAGGGGCTAATTGTAAAGAAATTGATGCTAGTCATCAAGGATATCAATTGTATCTCTACGAGAGGCTGACAGGAAGTTAATTGTGTGAACGTGTGACGAAAGAGTAAAATGTATAGAGGCATCCCAGTTGGAGGCAAAAGAAGGAGACAGAAGAAGGGTGTGTGTGTGTGTGTGTGTGT